ACTGCATTGTATGTGTTAACGAAGCACAGAAAATAAGCAGAGGAATGGGGAAAAGGTGGAAACGAAATCAGGAAAATCGTAGGGATGCATTGTAATAAAATAAGAGTTGTGTTTCCTCGACATTTAGTAACTCCTAGAATATGAAAAAGTAGGTCCCGTTTTTGTGTCTGTCCTTAATATTTCAAAAATGGACATGTTTAATGGATTATCCTTCGGAGACGAAGAGTTCTGTCCAAGTGACTTCAGACAATTGTTTTGTCTGAGGGTCTGAACCATTGGTTTTTATGGTATTAGTTATTTACGAGACAAGTGGGATAAAAGAATTATTACTCACAGGTGTAAAGTTGTTTATAACGAGGCGCTACCCGAGTTGTTTAATCATACGATATGATAATAACGCCTTAGCAGACGTGTAATGTAAAATATTGTTTTTATGACCTGCACGTTTATTTAAAATCAGTTAAATAAATGTAAAAAAAAAGGGCAAGAAAATGAGTGCCGTAATGTAATCGTTACTTTAAAGGAGTGGAATGAGTTAACGTTATCTTTTCACTGCCGTAGATAAAAACGTTTTACCACATCGTTAGGAACTCGGTATGTTATTATCCAATAATAATATTTTTAATTTTCAGTTGAGATAAGAACGGTCTTGTTTTCAGTTACACAGAAAACGATTTTCTCTCGGCCGCTAAATTTAAATTATTTGATCTTTATTTTCGAATGAATTTTAAGAATTTACTAATTCTAAGTCGTAGTAGACTATTATTACATTTTTTTTTATTTATTCTCTTCAGAAAGTGGATCAAGTTATTTGCAAAAAGTCTTTTTGTAAAATATCCAGAAAAAAGGCGAAACTGAAAATAAAATACGCGAGAAATGAGTGAAATACACAAACTGGAAGGAAAAGAATTGAAAAGTCCTCAAGAAAGTTACAATACAGAAATTTTATTTCGTGTAAATCGTAAAATGCACATCGGAAGTCACTTGATCATCCTCACCAAAAATTTGATACTTGTGGTTTATGAATCTGCCTTTGTTTGTATTAGGGACCATCCGGCGACATGTTTTCTCGACGTTTCATGACCCCTACAGTACGAAAAAGTCTCCCGTTTCCTTTTGTCTGTCGTTTGCCTGTCGTCTGTCGTCTGTGTCGACATTTGTTAGACAGATATTCTTCAAAACTGCTGGACTGATTGTTGTCAAATTTTGTATGTATATAAATTACCAAAATTAAAATAGGAAAAGTGTGCAAGATGAACAAAAACCAAAAATGAGGAAGTGAGGGAAAATTGTGCCTGTTGGAAATTTTAAATACAACATGGTAAATAGAGAGAATATCCTGGGACTGGGAATAAAATATAATTATAGCTACATCCAGTGTAGAAATTACTTATGGAATAAATTCATTAATTGCAAAACTAATATGTAGTCTTTATTTCTAATCACGCTCTTTTTAAGTTTCTCCACTTGTCCATGAAGTCATTCACTTTTGAGTTATGATATGGCACTCATTTTTATTTTTCGAGTTTATTGTTATAAATTATCATGTATTTTTATATTTGTTGTGTATGAATCCGCCGTTTTACTTTTTTTTGTGGCTGTCTGTTCGTCCTTCTGTTTGTGTCGATTTTTATAAAACAGATGATCTCCGAAACTACGGGACTGATCGTCTTCAAATTTTGTATTTATATTAGGAATAACATCTAGATGGCAAATCGCTAACCGAAATTTAGCTAATCATCCCCACCAACAATTTGATGACGTCACTTATATGAAATAACATACTCCCACACATTTAGTTTACGAATCCGTATCGAGTTTTCGGATTTTTGGAAAAAAAAAGTCAAAATTGTATAACATTGTGCAATTTAATTTTGAATCTTGAATACCGAATGCTTTGAAACCTCGCAGACGTTCCAAAGTTATGGATTGTGAGCATGGCAAATTTTTTACCAAAATATGTTTATTCATCCCCTCCAAAAAATTAATAACAATCTGAATCAAAATTTTGCCGAATAAATCTTATCTAAAATGTGCAAAATATGAGTCTGTATTTGTGATTTTTAACATTGTATTGATATTTTTTAGAATAGTTTATACAGGATGACCTAAAAAAATTGGAAATGTAATAATGCTATTATTATTAGTATCCAAGGACACGTATTGAAGTATAGCACACTTCTTTACATTTACTTTAACATTACATACATATCTTTAAGTAACTTATAGGGATTCTCATAAAAAAATAAATCTCAAAATCTAATTTTATAGTATTTGGAAAAAGCTGGATATGTTGTACTGTACTTCAGGGGCGAGGGAAGTTCTGCAGTAATAATCTTCGATAAGTTTTTTACTTTCCGAGCGTAAGCGAGTCTGTCGGCCGACTCTCTACTTTTACATTTTCTCAACCTTTCATGACCCCTAGAGTACGAAGAAATAGGTCTCCCATTTCCGTCTGTCTGTATATCTGTCTGTCGTCTGTCCGGCTTTTTATTAGACAGATAATCTCCGAAACTACTTGTCTGATTGCTGTCAAAATTTGTATGTACATTAGCAATATCATGTTGATGATAAAAAACTCACGAAAAGTTGGCTAATCACCCCACCACCACTGAGATGATGTCATCTCCAAAATTTACAATAATATATATTTTTAATTTTATAAAATACGATACTCTTGCATTTGTGATGTATGAATTCGTGTTTAGTTTTCACCCTAGACGTCTAGATTTTTGGGAAAAAAAACAAAATTTTATTTTGCAATTTAACTTTGAAACCGCAAAACCGGTGGCTCTGAAATTTTGAAAACGTTTTAAGATTATCGTAATGATGGTAAATGGTAAATCAAAATTTATTCATTTATCCCCTCCCAAAAAATTGATGTCGTCATCTCAAAATTTTTTCAAATAAATCCTAGCAAAATGCGCAAAATATGATGAGCCTACATTTGTGATTTATTATTCCACTGATATTTTTTTAGAATTGCATATAGAGGGTGACTCAAAAAATTAGTCAATGTGTCAATTTATTTTATTTATTAAATCGGTCAATTTATTAATGACGTCATCTCAAAATTTTGTCGAATAAATCCTATAGAAAATGTAACAAAATTTGATGAGTCTATACTTGTGATTTTTCACTAAATTTATATTTTTTAGAGTTATTTATCCCGAGTGACTCAAAAAAAAAATGAATGAGTCAATTTATTTTATTAATTAAACTAGGAGCGGGTCAATTTTTCGAAAATTTGGCAGTGGAATATTGTTATTATTAGTGTTACACTGTACCTATCCGAACTGATATTCATATCCCTGCAAAAATGTTGATGACGTCATCACAAAATTTTGTAAAAGATAAACTCATTTGAAACATATCCGTGGCATGCTTCTTTACATTTACTTTAACATTACTAACATATCTTTATTTTAACTTCTAGGGGTTGTCATAAAAAATAAATTCGCAAAATCAGATTTTTAAATGTTTCAAAAAAGCTGGATATGTTTTATTGTACTTGAGGGGCGAGGGAGGTTCTGTCGAAATAACGTTCGACCAATTTTTTAAATTTTACACCGTACGTGGTAATATCTGAACACTGTACTTTATAAGAAAATTTTGAACGCTTTACAAGGTGAGTTAGGGAAAAGGGGACACCTCGAATAACTTTTTTCTTTATGAACCTACTCATTCACATGAAATAACTGACAGAAAGCAAAACCATTAAAAAAAATTGTCACCATTTTTTTTTATTTATCTGAATTTTTATTTTACTATAAAATTGAAAAAACAAATGCTTTGCAAAGTTCAATATTTATCACTTTTGATACGTTTCATTTGCTTTTGTAAAATAATATTTTCTTAAATCCAGTACAACATTTTACCAAATATTACGTAAAGTAAAAAAAACCTGGAAACTCTGGAAAAAAAAAAGTTAAACGGTATTTCTGAAATACACTTTTTTCTGTTGTTTTTTTAAAGCATTGAATTTACGTATACATGCAGGCTATTATTCCCCATTTGCATATTTAATATTATTAATTTTGGCTAATAAATAAAAAAGTTATTTAAGGTGTCTTCTTTTAGCTAACGTCATGTACTTCATAAACGAGAACGTTGTACTTTATAAGCCATGGACGCCGTACTTTGTAGATTTTGAACGCAGCATTTCAAAAGTGACTAACGCCGTAAACTTAAGAATAGAAGGTTTGTAATGTAATATAATATCAAGAAAGAATTAATTAAGAACAAAACTGGGCATAACTAAACTCCTGAAGCAGAAGAAATCATCCTCTGGCGGTAAAACAGCAGACTATATATTGACAGTTACGAGGGCTGTTTCAAAATTTTTCGAATTATCCTCGTATTCATGGTGCTAGAAAACCGACAGTTTGCAGAGTCGTTAATAAAATGGTTGAAGTCACTATTGACAATACGTTTCACAATATAATCCCATGTCTAGAAAATGCACAAGAAATTGGAGTTGAGTTTTTACGAAAGGGCGATTTCCATGTGTTAATGGGAAAAAGGGATAAACCACTCAAGAGATGGACAAAATAATTAGCAAAACTCGGTAACGAAAAAGGAAAAACTATTGGAGAAATGACAAGAAGTAGAAGGCTTAGGGACTTCATACGGCACCTGATCAGGTTGAAACAACTTTTAGCATAATCGGGTCGTAACACAAAACATTTAAATTTCATTTAAACAAACCCAACCGCACGTCACTTTCTTGCGGTGCGTTTAAAGACCACAGATCCTCTATAAAAACCAAAACCTCAAAAAATCCCGCAACATCCCAAAACCCCATCCACCCCCGGCGGGGACCGCGTCGCCCCCGGCAGCCCCCCGGCACGCAAATCCGTCTTGTTTGCGCCCGTCTCGCGTCTCAAACATAAAAGGGTTCGCATTTCTCCTGAACCTGATATCCAGCACACCGGAGAATCGAGCAGGACTGTGCCTGCAGCCCGCAGGATTATTAACCCAACTCGCCTGCAACAAAAAGACCGTGGCGGAGGAGCGCTCCGGTTGGCGGCCTGCGGCGGCCGTCGCTCCGACCAACAGTCGGCGCGCTCGGCAGTCAGTCCGAGAAAGGCCTTCGTAAGAGGTGTGTGTTGTTGCCGTCGCCGCTGCCGCCCGCGAGTGTCAAACGGTCACGTGCTCTGGCTAGTGCCATCCGGGTGAAGCGACGCCGCCACCATCCGCCACCATTTTTCCCCAGGAGCTGAGCCGACTCGCCGGCACCGTGGAGACCCGAGGCCCCGTCGCCCTGGAGCCCTCGTGCCCCAAGCGGTGAGTTCGTTTTGTTCTTGGACCAGAATTACCATCGCCACGGGGTGGGTTACTTTCCAGACGTCGTTATGCCGACGATTTTTTCTTCGTGGGTAACGGTAGTTTTTATGACCGGAGGAACCGGGGCTGGGAAGTAATGAGATTTCGCAAATTATTTTTCAAACCGCGATCGTAAACAACTGCCAGGACCTGGAGGTGTTTGTGCGTATGGCGAAAGAGACACGTTTGTTGAATATACGACGTACAATGACGATAAAAGTGGATTAAGTTCGGGTGTACTTACAATAATTTATTGCTGCTGTGGTCAACCATCAGTGAAATGTCATTTGCACAGGTCGAAAATAAGTTATCAGTATTATAGCGGATTCGCGGTAATTATACGTAATTTCATCCCTAGCAGTAACGCAAACACGTGTGAGAATAAGAGTGAGTTTGAACACGCGACCACAATCTAATTTTTGTTGTAGTGTTAGTGGACAAAATTATAACATTTCCTTAACGCGATCTAAAAATGATTTAGTATTTGTCAGCCTTGGCTTGGCAAATTTACGACTGTGTAAGCAAGGCTTTACACTAATTTTTAACTAATAAAACTGGTGAACAATTATTTACATTCGGACTTATATTTCAATATTGACAGCTCAAACATATCTGATCATAGTTATATTAATGTTCAGATAGTTACGCACGAAACGTGAGTACATCATTGGAGAAGAGAAAATTGAAAATGAAAAATATTATCTAATATTTTTACAACATGTAATAAAGTCGATTAAAGAATAATTGCTTATTGTAACGAAAACGAAGGTAATTATAACCATTTGGTCTACTTTTCTCTACTGTTTATCCCAGAATATCAAATTAATCTCATTTTAGAGATATAATTAAGTTAGATTGTGGTAGGTTAACTTACTCGTTTTTCAAAATTCAGAAGCTTTCAGTCAAATGGTTAAGTCACACTCAATATATTTTCACATTTTAGTTACAGTGAGAAATTCAAAATAGTGTACTGGACGATTTATTCGTTCTTGTGACTTAATAATTGGTCGTATTTTCATTTTTGTTGTCTTGTTCCCTTTTAAATTTTGCTGGTGTCATAAAAAATATTAAATAAATATTAAAAAATGTAATAATTGTTTACACAGGTATTTATGAAAGTATGGTATTACTATGTTAAGAATCAGCTTATTTAGTTTCTTTAGATATTGTAGAAACGCAATAACAATATGAGGAATTATTTCTGTTTTTTTTAAATTAATGTCTCAATTATTTATGGAAATTTGAGAACGCGGTTTTCACCACTGTTTTCAGCTTACGAAATTCATAGACATCCTATAAGATATATTGTCGTGTTTTTTATTGCAAGTGAGATACAGTAAAAAGACTTCTGGGAGCTTCTATGACATAAGTTTCTTTTTATTGTATCTCATTTCCAACAAAAAAAAAATCGACAATGTATTTCATACTATTTCTAGGGTTTTGTAAGTTGAAAACAGTGTTAAGTTATTATTTTTAAAATTTCATGATAATCAGTTTGTTAATAATACAGAATACGACGGATTAAACAATAAAAATATAATAACGATAAACAAAATCAAGGTAGATTCATAAATCATAGATACAGAAGTGGGTAGATTGTTTCATAAAATTTAGATAACCTTAATGACGCAGTATATTGAGCGGTCATGATTAAATTGTTGATGGAGATGTTTTAATTTGGCAAAAATCGGTCCAGAAGTTTCCCATATTATCTGTCTAATAAAAATTGACGCTGACGACAGACAGTCGGAAACGGGGAACCATCTTTTCACACTCTTAAGGGTCATGAAACGTCAAGAAGCACGACCTATTGCAATACTTCTTTTGCTTACGTTTGGGAAGTAAAAATAATAGGTAATATTATAAGATGATCATTAAATTTATTTTTACTGTTGTTTTAATTTGGTAATATAAATATAAAATAATTGAGCTTCCAAATTAAAAAAAATATATATCAGCCACATTGACATAATAAATAAAACAAATCAAATAACACCAAGTTTTTTTTTAACATTCCAGTTCTCACCAATGGAAATAGGTATTATGAATAATAACAACAACCCAAAATTAACTTTTTTTCGAAAATTCCTTTAGCAAATTTTTAACGACTATACACACCATAACTCACTAATTCGCTTCTTCCGTATGCTCATTAATTACGCACAGCGGCTGCACGTCAAAACTGTACGATAATTCACACTTCTCAACCGCTGTGTCACTTAAGCTAACTATTTTTAAAATTCTGATTCTGCACGCTTCATAGGCATCCCATACCTTCACTTGCGGAAGATCCATTTAACCGTGTAGCAACTGAAAAAGGGCACTTTTTTCTCGCTAGGTAACGCTAGTTTTTATGACCGAAAGAGCCGGGTTGAGGAGTAATGAGATTTTCACAAATTATTTTTCAAACCTCGTTCGTAAACAACTGCTCCAGACCTGGAGGTGTTTGTGCGTATGGCGAAAAAAGACGTTCGTTGAATGTAGGATGTACCGGAACCGTGGTGGTTGAAAAAGCGACATTTCTTGAATAACAACGTTCAAGGATTGAAATTATCACCGGTTTTTCTTGTATGTAATAATATTTACACACACGCTGCATTATATTAATAGTTATTTCTAGTATTTATGGTGTTAATAATTTCTCTAAAGAGTACGAACTTTTATTCGAAAATTCTATATACAAGAACATTTTTGGTGTTTTGTTGTGTTATCAGATTGTGTTTAAAATATGACGAAATTTTAAATGTAATGTGATACGGTGTTTTGAGTTCAGTTAGTGATTTTATCTTTCAGGTAGCAAATGAGTTTCAACATTCTTAAATGCAGTAGCGTCACTGATAATAATTACGCTTATTATAATAATTAATTAACCTTCAAAGTAAAAAAAGTTCTCGTTGTAGAAACACAGACTTTTGGTTTAAAGGTTACATCTTTCAAAAATAACTTACTTTATTCTATCTAATACGTAGTATATGTTTAGGGGTTATGAAAACCCGTAGTGAGGAGGCGGAGCAGTCTAATACCCTCGCTGCTGGGTACCGACAAAAATTTGCCTGTCCTGTAGCATCTCATCTTATTGCAACAATTTTTCTTTCATCTCTTCCAGGAAGAAATGACGTCATTTAAAATCGTCGTAAGTAAAACCCCATTTGAAATATTTGACGCGACGTGATTTTGTCTCTTCCTGTTTTCAACTTTAATCAGGATTTGTATACACAAATTTTACAATTTATTTAAGAAACAATGTAATGAACATCTTTGAGATAGGACGCTAATATTAATTTAGACATTCCAGAAGATTAAATAAAATTTATCTAAACAGCCTTGTTGATTTAAAACTCTGGAAACTCAGTTAGTTAAAAATTCGTTGACCTTTTCTCACAAAATTGTTGTTAAATACATGTTTATTGAAAAACAGTCCAAAACACGCCTGTGACATTTGTTCTGTATAAATAATTTTCAATTTTTTTTTAACCGCAGAAACAGTGGAATCGATCGATCGTTTTTGTAGCTTGTGTTAAATGGACTCAGTTCATCTCGCTGTGAAACACAATCTGATCAGACAAGATTATCTAAATGTGACAATGGCAAACAGTTTATCTACAAATTTGAATCTGACAACAATTAGTTGTAAAACGGTTATAAAGCACCACGATAATCCAATCCGATTGTATGAAGCACTAGTTCTATTTAGGTAGATTAATATGATGTACAAAACACTGTACATTTTGAGCTCTGAAAATCCTCGTACGAAATAAATCGTACCTTTGCAATTAGCTCCGAAAAAATGCCTTTTCCGTCAACTTTTATCCCGTTCCGGCATGACTTATTGCGGTTAATGAAAATTAATTTGCACACATCGCCATAATTTACAACGTGAAACGTCCGAGGACTGCGCTTACACAATAAACATTTAATTGCACACAATAATTGCCGCCGTAAAGTCTAATACTCTTCATACTCGGCTAATTAAAACAAAACTATTTCGTTACGCAAATCCGCGAAAAATTGCGCCAAGAACAAAAGCTCGGAGTCAAGCGATAATAAAAGTTAGAAAACTTTAATTAGAATGTGAGTAAAGTTCCCGAACGGATCAACTTGTTAATTAAAACTTAACATTTTAATTAAAAATCTAATTGTTTTTGTGTAATTCGTTAAATTTGATTTAACTCGCAACAGACTCAAGGGTTGAAATTAAGGGATGTTGAAAGTTTATTAGGGGTTGCGTGCAGTTTTTAGCGTGAAATGGAAATTAGGATAACTGGTTCGGAGACAGTCGTGATGGATTAGGACGTTTGCATTTATGGAAAATGCGCCATAATAAATTAACTAGAATCTATAGCGAGACTGCGGCGGATGTTTGATGTATATTGCGTAATTCTGATTTATTTACAATCGGCGCATGATATACACGTTTGCTGTATATGGATCGAACCGATACAAAGAAAGATGACTTCTTAAACGCGGCCGACATGGACTTCTAGGTAAAACAAGAAGGAAAAATTGTAGCTGGTTTCATTAAAAGTGGCTGATCTAATTAGCCACTTTCGTCGATTATGGCAATACTCACTCGCCGCGTCAGTGAAGCGTCACTTACGACGTCAGAGTCACCACTAACTACTAAACCATTTTAAAATATTGTGTACTCTAATAACAACTCCGAGAAAAATAAGTTCACTGTTATCTCTATTTTGGTATTTAAATAAGGCAATTCGCTTGACGGTTCTGGAATTGACACTCATTACGTTGCAACTAGAGTTCCGGGTTAATTCAAATGGGGAACTTCAAACGTTACCAACTATCTGCAAATAACAACCCTATAAAATCAACCGATTCATCGCACTTCTGAAGTGCATTGATTTCACAGCTGTTTTTCCCCGGGGCGATCATTTGGTAATTTTCTCTTCACTTTGTTTTGTTTGGCGGTTTTGTCACCTCGTGTTGAATGGAGTTTTTATTAA